TATTGAACAAAGAGGGTCACATCTCTGGTGGAAAACCTCCAAAACCGGCACAAATGGAGCCTTTTTTTGTTGGATGTCCCGATCCAGCTTTATGCACTTCCGTTCTGATCCCGGCCTATCAGAGCATGTATTAAAGTCTAAAGTTATTTATTCTTCTTACTTAGTTGTCAGACTCATGTTGAACAGGGATTTACTCTGATAACAACTTAGGTTAGGACACAGACCTGTGGGTTACAGATGCTAATGCTAATGCTTATGGGTGATTTAGGGTGATTTAAAAGCTTTTAAAGCCAAAGAAAAAATCAAATCATATCCCAAATGTAAGCTTTGATAGCTATTTATGCACTATTGAACAAAGTGGTCGAAAACACTCCAAAACGGGCACAAATGGAGCCTTTTTTGTTGGGGTGCCTTCAAATTAGGGATGTCCCGATCCAGCTTTTTACACTTCCGATCCTGATCCCGGCCTATCAGAGCTTGTATTAAAGTTTAAAGTTATTTATCTACTTACTTAGTAGTCAGACTCATGTTGAACAGGGATTTACTCTGACAACTATCCAGCCACTGACCTGTTTATTCACAAAATAGACTAAATTATAAATAACAAAAGGAAAACGGCATCAGTGAACAGTAAAAAGTGACAATAATATTATAAAATGTATTTAAAGGCAAAACACACAAACAACCTGATATAAAATTGTTTATTAACTCTGTTTTACATCCACCTATTGGTCTTTTTCATCCTTATGGATAAAATAATCCCACACAACTGATAGCTGATACGAATAGCTTCAAATTAACCCGGTTAAGACACAGACCTGTGGGTCAGGAGATGCTAATGCTAATGCTAATGCTAAAGGCTGTGCTGGAAAATGACCGGACCGGATTTAGGGAACAACAAAGCAAAGTGGAATGGATTACTTTAATCGGTGTGCTGGAAAACAGGGATCTGGACGTTCAGAAAGCTGATTCTCTGCTTCTCTCCTCCTCCAGATGATTGTAACCGACATCTATAACCACCGTTTCCACCGGATCTTCGCCACCAACGAAAACCTCAGCAGCATCATGGAGAGAGACGACATCTACGTGTGAGTCTGGAGTCCAATGTTCTGAGCTCAAACCTGAGATTTTTTTTTTTTTTAGAACTTAAACTTTTATTATTTTTGCAGAGCAATGATACAACCATGCATTAAAGGTACATGACACAAATGTTGACAATATGAAGTTTTCCATAAATAAACATCTTAGTCACAATTGTAGGTTCATCGTCATACAACCCCAAAATAAGGAAACACTTTAGGAGGGATAGCTAGACATCATATGCCAAGAGACAAACTTGTTGGGTTTATTTACATCAACATTGCTTCTGCTGGCCCCCAATCAAACCTGAGATTTAAGCTGTAAATCATCAGATATCTGAATCAGAAGGCCTTTTATTGTCATTACACAACAAGATTAAAGTCGACTCAAAACAGGACAGAAGTATCCAAATGTGAATTAGCAAAAATATGTATGGAAAACATTAGGAGGTGCTCAGTCCTAGGTGGATGTGCATTGCAGAAATAAATAGTAAAATATATGTGTATATGTATATATATTTTAAGGTGGAAAATTGTTAATATTGCACATTGTAGTGTAAGGAAACTCTTAATATGGTTTATTTTAAGGTAGAAAACTGTAAATATAGCATGTTTCAGGGTAAGAATGGTTAATATTGCACATTGTAGGGTAAGAAAATTGTAAATATTGCTTATTTTAAGGTAGAAAACTGTAAATATTGCATGTTTTAGGGTAAGAATTGTAAATATTGCACATTGTAGGGTAAGAAAACTGTACATATTGTTTTTTTAAGGTAGAAAACTGTAAATATTGCATATTTCAAGGTAAAAATAGTAAATATTGTACATATTAGGTTAAGAAAAGTGTAAATATAGTTTTTTTAAGGTAAGAAAGCTGTAAATATTGCATATTTCAGGTTAAAAATAGTAAATATTGTACATATTAGGTTAAGAAAACTGTAAATATTGTTTTTTTAAGGTAAGAAAGCTATAAATATTGCATATTTCAGGGTAAAAATTGTAAATATCGTACATATTAGGTTAAGAAAACAGTAAATATTGCACATTGTAGGACGGGATATCATATCTGAAGGCCCTAATCTAGGATTTAAGGTGTGAGCTGGTGGGAATAAGTTAGTTTAAGTGTTTTTTTTTTCCCATTTGAGCTTTGAGGTGGCGGTGAACAGAGTGGAGGACACGGACCACGTGGTGATCCCGGTCCATCTGAGGGAGAAATATAAGCAGTCGGGATACAACCACGCCAGCACGCCGCTGTTCGGCCAGCCCTTCCTCATCGCCGTGCCCAAA